AGAGCATTTTTTAAAGTATTTTTTTTTTAAAGTTACGTGGTAGAAAATTATTTGAGCTCTTACTAGAGTGACAGGTTCTGAAAAAAGCCTACATTGGTGATAACGACATCTGGTCCATTAACAACTTAGGTAATTTCATTAAACAGAAAGGTTAAATAATTTAACCGAGTCATGCAAAGATTTCTTCTGCATACAGAAGGAAATAAAAGGGAAGAGTCTTTATGATCCTGAAAGCTTATTCTGATAACTGTTTCCATATAAACATGACTTTTATTAGTTTATGAAGAAGTGCTGGACAAATGCTTTAAAAACAGTTTCAAGGTCATGGTGAGCAAAAGCTATGTATGTTTTATTATTAAAACCCAAATTTACTTGTAACAAGTAAGACCAAAATTTAGTCAAAGATTAGACAGAGCTTTTGACCCAAAGAGAGCTTATACAAACCCCACAAGACACAGCCACTACATTTGCTAGCAGATCATTCCTGGTACTGCAGATTGCTGCTTGATGTAAAGCAGGGAAGTCCCCACCTAACACTCACCTTCCACACTCCTCTTCAAGGGTTAATTGCTCTGTGCTAGAAAACAAGCTAATCCTTCTCATCTTTGTGTAGTCTGGGCAAAGCCACAACAAATTAATACATTTCTTTCAAGGTCAGACAAAAATCTGGCCTTAAGAAAGCTTTTGGAGTTAAGCTTCAGAGATTGCTATAAGCTAGGAAAGAGGCATTTCCTTAAAAAATGCTAATACAGTTCAGGATTGGGGTGAGGGGAGGGAATGTGTTGGCCTCTAAAAAACCAGATGCATGCAACAAGGAAAAATTGAAATCACATTAGATATGTTAGACAAAGTAGCCTGGTAGACAGAATGTCAACAAAGTGTTATATTTCATTCATCTTTTAGTTAATACAGGAACTGTTTTGTTTACAATCAAAAGAAAAGATCAGATTGCTGTGTCACTGTATGTACCTGATACAGGTCAAAACCAACAAAAAGAAAGGAAAGGCAGCCCTGGGTGTCCCCTCTTTCCCCCAGATCATCTACACACCAAATGACAGTGCTCACAAGCTGTGCTGAAGACACAAAGTGGTGACCAATAAATCTGAATTCAGCTCAGTGATTTCCTGAAGTCTATCATGAAGACAACCCAGAGTCATTTATATTTAGCATAATTAGAATGAAGAAGAACTGTAAATTAATGCTTAGAGCAGCCCTTCAAGGGACAACCTCCCTAACACCTCCTAGGGGCTGTGAAGGGTTTATTGTCCTGTTTACATCTCAGGAGATGTGTAAAAGATGAGAAAGTTTATCCACTGTGAGCTGTACACTGTTGCAACTTGCCCTATTTCCCCATCATCCACAGAGTCAAATTTCCAGACTTCACAGGAAAGCTCATAACATCTAATTGTCTCCTGACTCTCTTCCTGGTCAGATCAGACTTTATGAAATTGCTTTCATGTGTGCCAAGCAAAGACAGTATCTTCCCTGGGAAAAGCCAAAGGCAGCAGCTTGTCACAAACAAGGAGCACTCGTGGGTCACAGACAGGGAAAGGCACAGCCATGAATCTCAACAGGACTCCATAAATATTTATGAGGAGCAAATAAGTATTAATAAACTGAAAAGGTGAAAGAACAGTCCACTGTCAGTCTAAATCAAGAAATCTGTGCCAGCAAGCATTTTCCCAGGCAACATCTGCCACTTCCAGGGTTCAGCATGGGCCAGGCACCACTCCAGGCAGGCAGAGCAGAGGCAGATCCTGTTTTGGGGAAGCTCTAGGTGAAACCTCAGAGGCCAGCTGAGCCGTGCTGGCTGCAACACCGCATTTATTTAGTGTGGATGCTGGGTGCCAAGGGGCACAGCTCTCCTGCAGCAAGGAGCTGATGGCCAGCAGAGGGGCAAGAGCCACAGCCCAGCTGTGTCCCAGCTGTGACAGCCACGTGCAGGTGACAGAGGAGACACAGCAGCCTGTGCCCTGCACACTCCAGCACACTGAGCTGAGCCAGCCCTGGGAGCTGCTGGAACCAAGCTCCCCATGCCTTCTGACTGGCACACACGCAGGGCTGGAGGCTCTCAGCCCTTTCCTGCTCTTCATTAGCTGCTATTTCTGCTGTTTAAAGCCTTCCTTCTATTCCAGGGTAAGGGCACCTCACCATCCCCTCTCTTGGGGCTAAAACAAGATTCCCTTTGAAACTTCACACTAATTCCCTCACAGACACTGAGAATAAATATTTACTTTTATGCATCAGTGTTGCTTCAGTGGTATGACTGCTGCCCCGTTATATAAGGGTAACATCTCCAATTTTCCCACAACTAACAACAGCTTTGGAATACTTTCCAAAGGGTCTCACGAATAATTTTCCATGTGATGTGTGCTGTGATCGCTGACCAGCAGAGGGAGACGGGATACTGTTCCCAAACAAAAATCCAAAATCTGGAATCTTTCAAGGGATGCCATGAGAATACAACCCAGCTCTACTTTTTCTTCTTCCTCCACTGATGATTAATAACTTATATTAAGGGAGGCAAGAAGTGAGCTCCTAAATTGTGTGTTTTAGCTCTAATATTAATAAAAACCTGAATTCAAATCACTGAAGAACTTTTTCAATGCACCAGTTCTTTTGTTTTTTTTTTGGTAGGTGTTTTGTGTTTGTTTGTTTTTATATGAGGTGAAACACTGATGTGGGTAGGAAAGAAACAGACCATGGAAAGACAAATATCTATTTAAGAGGATTAATGGACACTGAATGTTTTAGAGCTGTGTTTTCCAAGTATGAACTAATACAAAGTCAGGAGGTACTGGACAATAAGTAATTTATACATTAAAAATTAAAATGCAAGGAACAGTTTACAAGTTTTATTTAACCACCCTTATTGGGCTAATTCTCCACCAGGTACTTATTCTGCTGTTTCAGGCAAATAAAGCTATTCTATTTTCATATTCCATACATATTTGTGCACCAGCCACACCAATCAAAGTGAATGGCCATAATGTGTTTTGAAGACACTGATGGTGGCACATGAACAGTGGTGCCAGGTAAAGAACTAAAAAGAAATACTGAACAGAAGTATTTAGAAGACCTCCTAACAAACAGTGTAGGTTTGGTAAGCATTCAGATCTCCCTTTTTAGTGTTTTCTTAAATAGTTCTGCAAAACCTGCTAAGTTGGAAGATAGTGCCCATGCTGGAAGAGGACTCCTGCTTTACAGTATTATGATTTTATAAATTAAAAGTAATGCAAGAGGATTAAATGTAATAATGCAAAGCCAAAAAAAAAAAAAAAAAAAAAAGCAGTTTAGAGGGGAAAAAAAAGCTCCTCACCAGCAATACAAACTCAAGATTTGGATATTTATTGTATACTAGAGTCTGACTGAACAACTCCAGACTTCCCTTCCTACCACCACTGCTTTCAAATACCTGGAGAAGCAGACTGAGAATATGACTCCATGATCACAGACTTTGTTCTCCTCTAGCTGTAATCCATGACAATCATCAGGGATGCCAAGTAAGACAGGGATTTTTGTGAAGTGCTGGTGGAAAGTTTTCCATCACCATCGAGTTACCTGTTCTCCTTTGTGGTGAAAACTCCCAAGGCTCACTCACTCACAGTCTCCCCAGGTGTCACCTCACACTGGCTCACCACCTGGAGAGGAAACTCTCACTTTTTGACATTAACAGCATTTTCTCAGCACAGCTCCAGCAATGAAACTGGTATCTGGCATGATGTCTTTCATCAAGAGACCTGGAAACTCCAAAAGGAATCAGTGGCCTGCCCCAGTGGTCTCAAGATAACTGGTAAATGGAATGAAGGACAATCATCCCTCCAACTGTAACCTTTGACCCAGGTGAGCACTGACAGTGCAGGCTGTGGGTCATGCCCACTGTAGATACCAACTCCCAGCACAGCGTGAGGAAAAAATATATTCTGGAATGAAAAGGAGGCCAACAGTCTTTGAGAAGAGCTGAAAGAGTGACAGTGAACCCCATCATCCAAAACCTGATTTTTCAGGTCAAAATTTTTTACTCAAGAGCTGACAGTCATCCTCTCTTTCAGGCAAAAGCAAGGAAAGACTGCAGAACTTTCCTCCCTCTAAGATGGTGAAAAAGTCAATGTAAATTTTCCACTTTTCAGATCACAGCATTCAATCCAGCACTGTATACAATTATCTGATACACAAGATGGCTCTGTGAATGTTTTGGGACTGAGTATCTGTTACATGGCTGCCTCTGACTGTGGAAAGCTGAGGTCTGAGTAGTACATCCCAGACCAAAATTACTAAATGGGCTTACTTAAGTCAGAATTTGAGCATCTTTACAAGGAAAAACATACTGAAACAGCAAAAAACCAAAGCAAACAAAAAAAATACCAATTGCAAAATCCAGGAAACAAAGAAAGCCACAGCTTTCTACCACACTGCAGAACAGATTAGTCTGTTTCTATAGCAGGCAGCTAATGGCTTCTTTTGGCAAACAAACTCTTCAGACAGAGCCAAGAGTCTAGCAGATGATTTACTGATTAAACGCAAAATGAGAAGCTGAAAACAAAAATTTTCTGGAGAATGTAATAATTTGCATAATTAAGCCACCCATTTGAGTCCTAAACTGTCTTATCAGTATGGCAGGAACAGCCTCAGAGCACCTGGGTACTCCTTAGCTGTTGCACAAGGGTCTTCCACTAAATGTCTTTATGAAGATTCAGATATCCACAAAGAAGCCAATATAAATTAGGGCTCATCTGAAATTTGTTTTTAGACACAGATTTCGACTGCAAACCAGATTACATCCCCTCTGCCTGTTCTGCTAGGATGTCTTCCCCCAACTCCTCCTCTGGCATAACATGAAAGACACAGCTGAAACAATATAGTTTTGTACAGTCAAAGCACAGCACGATGGCAGTACTTCTCTTCAAGAGATCAAATTTCATTTAACACTCAAGAAACACTCATTTAAAAAAAAAAAAAAAGAACTGCAAGCAAAGGCAGACTGAAAGGAGAATACTCACTTGTAGCGTAGTGTCGAAAACAACAAGCTTAGAGCTTGTTGGAACAATGTCATAACACTTGTGTGACCTCATGAATCGCACATAAATGTCACTTTCCGATTCTTCAAGTGCTGCAAGTAAAAACATTGTGTTGTTTTATTTAAGTAACCTTAAAAAAGAGTAGTAAAAAACCATGCCAAATCAACTGAACACCACGGCAGAAGGACAATCCTAAAGCAAAACTCAAATTCACACTTTCAGATCTGGACAGACAGTCACAGGTTTGCACTTGGCACTTCAGACTCATCTTTCCTTTCAGATTAAATATAATAAAGACAAAATGCATTGTTCTTCTTTGATGAGAAAGGACTACCATGCTGAAGAGTTACATTCTTAAAAAAACCTCCTTCTTTTTTTTTTTTTTTCTTTCTTTTCCCCTAACAGCAGCTACTGGAACACGCATCTCAGCTCTATTATGTACAGAGGAAGACAATTTGAAACTTAAGTAGTGTTGGGCTTGACTAACTCAAGCTCCTTAAATTAGTATTTCCTGAATCTGTACCACTACCTGTTTCACTTTTCACATAGTAATTTTCTATTTTCTAAAGAGGTAGCAGGCAAGCTCTGTAATCAGCACGATTCTCTTCAGGCTACACAGAGCACCACAACTCCAACATTTTGTTTATAAATCCAGGACCCATGTGGCTGGAATGGTTTTAGTGCTGCATGTCTGTAGCAAGGACACACAGTCACATCCATATTATCTTATACTTCCTTTGCATTTGTTCAGATGCATGTGCATACAACCCCCAGATCTGCCCAGTTACATTAATTTTCTTTCTTTTTAAAGCAGTTTGGCTCTCTATTCTTTCCAGCAGGTATCTAGAACTTGGTCAAGGATAATCCCTCCAACAGAGACTGCACCCTTTAGACCCCGTAGTAATTCCACAGAAGCTTGGACATATATTACACTTTTGAAGAGCACAATAAAAAAAAGACAACAAATTAAAAAAAAAACCCTGGAAATACCTACTGACCATTAAAGAACTTCATAGTAGGGAGTTCAAAACTCAAAATCTTAATTTGCTAGATTTGTTCAAAATCAGTTACATTGCTCTGGACAAATTATTTGTCATTTCCAGCAAATGGCTCAGCACAGCCTTTTCAGTCCAAATTTACAGAAGCAAAGCTGTATCTCCCCTGCAAGTGGCTGCTCCAGGATCCAGCAGCTTCTACACACTGAACAAGTCCTTCATTTCCTACTCCCATTACTCTTAAAATAAATAATTAAATAAATAATCAATAAGTCTGGTCTTTAGAAAGTTATGGTTGCTTCTGCAATCCTAAGTGCAGTCCCAAGAGCCCTTATTTACTTCAATCTCAAGTTTGTAAACAATTAAGATCCTATAGGTAGAAACAAGCATAGGAACAGCTCAGATTCCACCAGAACAGTGGAATCACCATCCCTGGACATGTTAAAAAAATGTGTGGATGTGGCACCTGGGGACACGGATGGTGAACATGGTGTTAACAGTTGGACTTGATAATCTGAAGAGGTTTTTTCCAACCTAAATGATTCAATGATTCTATAAACCACAAAACAACCAGCTGAAAAAAATGACCATTCTTAGAGCACATCATGGCTCCACAGAGTCTTGCCAATTCAGTAACAATTTTTAAATGTATCAGGATAAGCACAATAACTGTGAGCCACAACAATTCAATCAGGGGAGGCTGCTCATGGCAGCCACAACCAGGAACTCTTACCAGCACAGTGAAGGTGTGCCCATAAACCCTCCCCTCACTTACCACACATTCCCACCCTCCAAACACAAATTCAACTGGACCCCAACAATCCCCACCCCGATGTAAAGGAATGGTTAAATTCTATCTCACCTTGTGCTGTCTTCCAGCTCAGGGGAGACACCACAAAGGGACTGTTTCCCTTTAATTTTAACTGGAAAGTTACAATTTAAAATATTCAGAAGCATGAGATAGCCATCTGTGAAATAGCTAGGAAACTCTAGCAGGATCTGGACAAGGATCAAATTGTCCAGCTGGAACTGAAGTTTATTTCTACAGAAGATCCTTATACTTTAAATAAGTGCAATGCACCACTTCATTAGTTACTAACTAAACATGCAAAACATCAGCAGCACTGATTTAACTCTCATGTCCTACACAGCTGCAAGGGCCTGGAGAAAGGGTATTTAAGACCTTCTAACACCTTCAGCTACCTGGGGATACTCAAAAACTGCCACAGCCCAATTCTTTGTACAGGTATTGTGGATTATGTATATATTATGTACATACACAGCTGTTCAATGGAGAAAAAGGACTCCCAAACCTACGGCTCAGCACATCTCAGGGATGCACTCACACCCATCTTTCCTGCACAGGGCATAATCCTCTTTACAGTTTCTTCCCCCTTCCACTGCTTTGGGGTGTATCCAAGCACCACTGTGCTGCAAATATAACTGATCAAATAAGAACACCCTCATCTCCATGAGGATATTTCTACTTTTTTACCTGCTTAGTTTCTTGCTCCAGTCTTACTTGCTTTCCCAGTAACTGCCCATTCATTCTGAAGCTTCTGCAGCACCTGCAGAGCAGTACTTCCTTTGGATGGATATGGACAGATCCCTCCTGGCCTGACTTACAACCTCCTCAGTCTCTGCACGTCATCTCTGATCTGCACCCGAGATCATCTGCCCAGCGTGCAGGAGATTTGAGCACAGAACTGCCTCCAGCCAAACCTCAGCTCTCTACAGCTCATCATCTGCAAATCAGCTGGCTCACAGAGCAGATTCCCAGCAGGAGGCATCTGAATCTAGAGCAGGATCAGGGAGGAGGAGAATCCACTAATAAGTAGCTGAATGTGTATTTCTGTGAGGGCGCACACTCATGCAAGCTTATCTCCTGAAGATTCACCTGCAAGTTATTTTGCAAGTGGACATTGGTCATGTGCACTCCTCTCCACAAGACATAGGTGAAGGCAAAAACATCCAAATTCCCAGTGCTGTTTTTTGTGATTTTTAATAGAGAAGAAAGAGAAGTCACCTGGAAGGTTACAGATAAACCCTGCCAGATTAACACCTGAAGCTGAGCACCTTGTCATATAGGGTTTTACAGAGTAAATTCTCTGCACTGGCATTTAATTTGTTCCTACTGTTAGAGAACCTTTGAAGAGTAGAAGATCAATCTATTTGTATTTCTGCCACTCTGCTCCTCAATCTTATTGACTAAAATGATTTTTACTTTCTTCCTTTCTCCCATCCTTCATTATAAGATGAGACATGCTTTTGTTTTTTATTTCAACCAGTAGATGTTATTTACAAGAGCATCATAGCTCTTTTTTTTTTTTGGACAGATTAATTATTCATCAATACTGACTCAGACTGCAGTGGGACTCAGTACTAAGCATAATTCTCTACTCAGAGAGCTCTAAGGTAGAACTACCATCTGAACACTCATGAATGACACAGAAATTTCTGCAGCATTGCTGAAGCCATTTCTTCAGAGATCTACTGAACAGATCCTTCAGTTCCACTCATGCCTTTGCCACCAGGCAGGGTGCTTTCCTCTCAGAATTTCAAGGCCTTCAAAAGTAGAAAAAAGAAGAGGAAAAAAAACCAACAAAAAAAGAAGTGCCTGAAGATGGAGAATAGGAATGTAATGTCAACACTCATGGAAAAGCTTCCAAATACTGCAACATAAAAACCTAAAGAAAGTTCCTCAGAAGTGTCTATTGCAAACCACAGCCTGCATTTCGGGCTGTGTTCCTACTGGGATGGCCCAACAAGATCCTGGACCACACGTGCTTCCTGATCTCAACAATACACCATCACGACCTTTCCTACTGTATTTTATGGTTCAGCTGTGTTATGCTCCTGGTGTCCAGTCATATTTCAAGTTCACTCATTGGTTCCAGGAGTACTTGACAGAAAGACACAGGCTCCACAGAGGCTGGGCTCTCTCACCTTCTTTGAAGTGTTAATTCCACCACAGCCATGCCACAGCAGCTCTCCATACCCCTGTCCTCATGGTTAGATTGAGGGCTGGGTCCTCTGGCAACTCTCAATCATCTGAAGAACTCAAACTTATGAACCTAAACCTTCTCATTAACCTAAAAAACTGTTAGTATAACTGACTTCTTAAAGTTTCATATGAAATTAGCGGCCAAATTTTAAAGGCCTTTTAAAAAGTAAGGAAAAAACAGCAGAGAGCAGTATGTAAAATATACACTCAGCTAACTGCCTAGCCTGGTGAACAGCTTGGAGGGAGACAAAAACCACAAATATACACAGTAATTGCACCATTCTGCCTGATTTTTTAATAAGAATCAGTATGGAAACTGTACAACTTGAAAAGCTTAAGAGTTCTCTTAGAGCAGCAGGAGCTGAGCTAACCACCCCCAGCACTACTTTTCACCTTGACTACTATTGGCATAATCATCTCCCCTCAGCCAGGTCCAATAGATAAAAGGAAATGGGGAAGTAGAAATGTAGTTTTGTGATGTTCTCACTTACATTGAACAACCTAGTTATGGGAAAACACATTTTATTTTCTGTTACTGCACACACACATATCTGTACTTCAGGGCACTCCAAGCCATACTTCTATTTTAAAAGTCACATGATATGTTGCATATCACATTTCAGATGCCAGAGAATGAAAATATTAAAGACCAAGGATTTTTTTCATCACAATGTTTACTATGGAACTGATCCAACAGCAATACATTAAGTCAAATTTATTAGTGTAATTATACTGATAAACTTTATTGAAAGGTGTTATGCCAAAGTACTATTCTTATATGTATATATAAATACACACACATATTTATATATACATATTTATATATCCTCCTGCCCTTTTCTTACACTAGAAGCTATCCAGGACAATGACAGCACTCACAGCAAAGATCAGCTTAGCTGTGCCAAGTGCTGCCAGAAGACACCAGGGTGAGAAATCACTTCAATAAGCCAGGACAAATTATCCTCCCTCCCTCCTGCTACAGATAACCCTTGGCAGAGAATACAACAGGTAAAAGACATCATTAACCTTGTAAATTGTTCTTCTGACTGTGGTTTTATCTGAAAGCTGTCACCAAAACTGGCTTTAAAGTTTC